ATCTAGTTTTGTCGAAAAATTACTACCTATATTGTCATTAATTGAAAACACAGAATAGAAATTTGCAACGCCTGTTTTTGATTTACGACACGTAATGGTTAAAACCGATCGGTAGCGAATTAAACGCTATCTATGAAGCGATCATTTATACAAATCGTGCTGCAAATAACTTTTATGACGGCAAGCTAATTATTTTTTTATTTCTCCATTTATTGCTTCACAATATTTATGATGAATACGACGTTAAACAGTTTTCTAACTCGTATACATTATAAATATTGAAATGAATAAATAAATGAACGGCTAACACAATAGAGTAAACGTAATAGGACTCTTTTTTATAAGTTCTGATTGAGCAATGGCTTAATTGATCTCCTCGCCAACTGCGATTAGTGCCGTGCTGTGGATTGGATTCCCATACGTGTCAAAAGTTTGTGGGTTCCACAAATAGTTGTGGAGTCCTTATATGCCGGAGCGAAGATTTTGTCAAATTGTATACGTCTGTTACTGGGTGGAAATTGAAATGAAAGATGCCAACTACGTTGTTAAAAACATACAGGTCGAGCCAAGAAAAGCTTCCAACGTCAGATAAAGATTATAAAATAAATTTTTATGTTTCATATTAGCACATTCAAAAGTGTTACCATTTCTTGAAAAATTAAACAAACTTTCAAAGGCGTCAAAATGTACGTCTGTCATTAGACACGTGGAACTTTGTAATAAGAATATACATATGTGATAACGCAGTAATAATGTCCGGTTTAATTTAATCGTTGTTCAGGCTTTAATGACTAACATCCTTCACTTTAATTACCACCTGGTTATTTTGTTGGTAATTATGCCTTTTTTGTTATCATCTGTGTAGAAACAAAGCAAAAGGTAAAAAGACGTTACGCCACAAAAGGAAGCGGTTGGAATTATCACATTTATTTCCTTCGAGTACAACATAACATTGGACAGTTGATTTTATTCGTATCACTACCTAGTATAAAACAAAGTCGTCCCGCTGTCTGTCTGTCCCTATGTGTGCTTAGATCTTTAAAACTTACTTAATGGGGTTAGTTAAGTTTTCTCACCCTTGACCATGTAAAAATTGTTTTACAAAGTAATACGAGGCTTCAGAACTCTTCAATTAGCGATTTGCAAGCTTTGCGCGTCCAGACGGTTTAAGTTTTAAAGCTTGACCACATCGATGGATTGCGATATCTCACCATTAGCACGTAACACGAAGAGTACACAGCGGACGTTCACCAATAGTCTCATTGGATCGGGCAAGAACCCTCGGCGCGGTTACATAAGGTCATGCAGCCGTTATATAAATAAATTGCCTTTACATTCCTCACATATATACCGAAATAGGCGCGTTTCCCGTAAGAATATCCGGTTTTGACATAACTGCGCCCGCCATTATGAACCCAACAGCGTCATCTCTACGAGTTAACGGCGCACTCTATTCCCTCGTTCATATACCTGGGCCACTTTCTCCTTGCAACCTTGATTTCTTGCGCCTGCCTTGGGTACGTTAACACGGACCGCGTTAAACCAATGGCATTTTCGTCACTGCAATCGCGTACTTTTACTTTTTTCGTTCGTATGTCACTTTCAAAATATCCCCCCGCCGCTTTCCTCCGATTCAAAACAACACTTGGGCGCGATTTTCTTTAAAGCAGGCGGATAAATTGCATAATAAACCAGCGGAGATAGTGTCAAGTCATTTGTGAAAATTTATTATTTCTCCATTTCCAAAAATTTAAAATAACTCACCTGTTGTATTTGCAGTATATATTGTGCGTGCAGTAAGATGCTCTATCGGAAAGATCCAAAATCACTAATAAGAAAATGTCACAATAATCACAGAGCACGATAAATTAAAAAGTAAATAGTCAATGAAAAAAAAAGAAAAAGTAACGTCACTGCCACTTATCTATGGCGCAATTTCGCGCCTAAACACAGAACACTTTCTCTTCAAAATCGTGTTGTACTGTCGTATAACGATAATTGAAGAAAAAAAACATATACAATATATTCAAATTTCGAATTGGTATTCAGTTCGCCACGTTAGTAACGGACAGTGGCTACGCCGGTTGTGGCAGCGGAGGATTGTGGACGAGCGCGGCGATTTCTTGTTTACAACGGGGGCCGTTTAACCGACCGCGAACGAATGCGTCTGTTCTATTCGCTTCTCCGCGAAGTGCGGTTGCATTACAAAATGGCTGCTTAATAGGCTGTGTTAACCAACGGACAACCTGCCGCTGGGCTTGTCGCAATGGCCGCCCGGTTTCGCAACTCCGCAAGAGGACGTGAGTAAACACCGTGCTCGTACACCAACCGTTGACCACATTGGGCAACCGCCAAGATGAAATGTAAACTTTACTTGAAAGTTAACCAGATTCCATCTACGCGTCTGCACTTTAAAACATTTAGATACCAAAATTTTTCATATATTTCAGCCGAAATTATTGAATCACAACACACCGACAGTACACGCGGAAGTTTAAGATTATATTCGTTTATGGTATTTACCTATTTGCGTGTCTATGAAAAATTAGATTTTTCCGGCCCAGAACTTCGACTGCACAATTCGTCCCAAATCCTGCTGCAAACAGGTGGCAGTGCAAGCAGGACAGGACACCAGATGAGCCATGGATCGCTCCGGTATTGAATAATAAGAAAATTAAATTTTAGTTTTAACCTGACACGGGGGTGTTAATGTCGCATGAACCCCTCTTGCGCCAGAGGTTAGGGGTTCGATCCCCTCTACTGGAAAAATATTGATAAAAAACATTGTTTTTTAAATTTTATTTAAATTACTATACTTAATATGTATATATTAAAAGCTTTTCTTTGGGACTAGACAATATTTAAAAAAAACCGGCCAAGTGCGAGTCGGACTCGCGCACGAAGGGTTCCGTACCTTTCTCTTCTAATCTATAAAAACGGCGAAAAAAATCCACACAATCCACATGCAAAAGATCCCCACTTAAATATTTTTTTATTCTGTTTTATAGTATTTGTTGTTATAGCGGCAACAAAAACACATCATCTATGACAATTTCGACTCTCTAATTATCACGATTCCTGGTGACGGTCGGACAGATAGACAGCGGAGTCTTATTATTAGGGTCCCGTTTTACCCTTCGGGTACGGAACCCTAAAAATGGTTGGATAGTACTCAGACAACTTATAATATATTCAATTTAAGCACTTTGAAGGAGGTCGTTACTTCGCGAGTTATTAGAGGTCTTCTTACTCAAGGAAATATAAAGTTGAAATTTTATTATGTAACTAGAAATGTGTAGTTTGTGAAAATTGTTTTCGCCGCTCTCAGGATATCGGGCGGTTAAGATATCAACCGTTTAGTTAAGTGGTTAGAGCATCAAGGCGCAGTTTCGAATCCTGACAGTGTCGAAAATGTCTGTTCTCTTTCTACAATTTTATCTGCAGACTAAGTTCCATTAAGTACAGAGAGTAGGACTAAAATGTCGCTTTTAGTTTTAAATTTTGTATTGCTCACATAACTGGAGTCCGTATAACTTGTGTTTCTTAATCTAGAATACCTTTATAAAGTGTTGTTAGGACGTTTTCACATGCATACATTTCACGTGGACAAACACCCGCTAGTCCACAGCCATACATCAGGACCCAGAGAGGATGTATTTATTTTGTCCGACGAGGTAGGTAACAGACGCCGCCGGCTCCCATGTTGATAATAAAACATCGTTTAACATTAGATGAACAGCGTCGACTTTAGCCTTCAAGTCAAAAAAAAAAATCAGTCACCGTACTGTGCCTGGAACCATACCTTTTGTCACTGACAGTAAACGGGTTTGTCCATAATCGATAATTAAGGAGTGTAAAAATGATATAAGTTATAACAATTTCTTACAGAGTCGATTTTTAGCGTATAGTAACCATGGTAACTATTAATTCATCACCACTGCATTTATATATATATACCATGGACGTTTTTATATACACAGAATTCTCTGTACATCTATCCTTTATCGTCGATAATGATGAAATTGTTAGTACAGGTGTTATTCTATAGACTGGCAACGCAGGTCTTGGGTTCGATTCCCACAGGAAAAGTATTTCACTTACAGGGTTATTGTTCCAAATCTGTTTGTATGTCTTTGCACAAAACACCTCTAAAACAAGATTCTTCTGTGGTTACGCAAAGTCGCATATAGGAATAGATTGCCGCATTAAATATAGAAGGCGCTTTTTAAACAATAACTTTTACTGTCTAGCTGTTTAGCTATCATACCAATTGCCAAGCCATGTAAAGGTAATTTATTAAGACCGTAGACCCGTAGACGTAGACTCAGAGGAGTAAATTACAATACTAAAAACGTTGCAAAGTATTCTCAATGTGACGTTACTTAACCGTTACTTGACCTTTAATGTCACTTGACACGTAAATTAAATTAGTGCTTTTACGAAAGCTTTTTCACATTTATTATCGTTTTAAATCCCTGGCGTATCGAACACCGCAACCATCATTCATTACATACTGGAAAGTCAAGAACGATCACTAAACAAAAGTTCAAAATTATGCTTCCGATTTATCATCATCATCATTTCACCCTTTTTGAGTCCACTCCTGAACATTGGCCTCCACCATAGACTGCCACGAAGTACGATCCTGAGCCACCTGCATCCATCGACTTCCCGCGCATTTGCACAGGTCGTCACTCCATCTAGTGGGGGGTCGTCCTACACTGTGATTGCCAGTACGAGGCTGCCACTCGAGGAACTTTCTTCCCCAACGGTTATCGGTTCTACGAGCCTTATGGCCGGCCCCATCGCCACTTCCGATTGATGGACATAAATTTTCCCGCCACTTTTATATTTCCCGCGCAAGTCACGAAATCATCCAGTCCTTTCTAACTCACAAAAAAAAAATGTTTTAAATAAAACACCATTTAAAATAATTAAAACATATATTTCGAGAATGTCTAATAGAACCTGAGGATTCAGATAACTTATCACAATTGTTATTGTTTTGTTAAGACCTCGCTGAGAGCCTTCTTCTTCTTCTGCCCCTTGGAGACCTTGTGTTTCTGAAAGTCATAAGTTGGAATTAGCCAAACAGAAAGAGTGATTAAAATGTCACACACCTAAGTAATCAGCTGTCACATGGCTTTTCAAATGTCACTTGAGTGATCAGTAAACTCTTTGAATTGAATATCATTCTGATGTCAGGTTGATAGCAGAATGTATGTAACAGCAGAAATTATTTTAAAAAAACTTCCACCTAGTGCACGATAACATTACGTTCTGTGTTGTGAAGACAGCCAGATCCCAAATCTGTGGTCACAACAAATAGTTGTCCCATGTGGGAATTGAACCCACGACCTCAGCTTTGAAGTCAATACTTTGACAACTACACCACATAGTCATCAATATATGTAGGATAGACAATATCTGTATATTAATACTTTAAGCGAAAACTTAGTACCTACCCCTTTTTACGAAAATTACCGGGATAAGTGAGTATGAAATTACCTACACTTATAGTTTACATACTGAAGGTGTGCCAAATGCTAATATTTTTATCAATAAAACACTACACACAATGACATGCGTAATCAATTGTGGTCGAATTTCGACAACTATAATTATGTCTTGATGTCATGAATAAATTTTTGAAAACCAACCTTCTTCTTCTCTGCCGTCATGCCGACGAATTCTTTGCGTGTCTTCTTCCCCGGCTGGTTTATATTTCTCTGCCGCTTATTCTGCGGGCCTTCGCCAGCGTCATCCTACAAAAGATATAAAAAAGTAACGTATCAGCCTGTACACGTTCCACTGCTGGGCAAAGGCCTCCTGTGTACAGATGGTATTTGGACATAGTCCACCACGCGGCCCCACTACGGACTGGCGGACTTCACACATCTTCGAAATATATTTTTTACAAAAGATATCATACCATTACATTCTTACTCACTAATAATAATCGATAATAAGTTTAGTAGTTAATGCAGTATTTGAATTTACAGTAGTAGGGCCACGAAACAATCTTCACTGTTGCACAAATGGACTTGTTAGATGGCAAGCGAGCAGGCGATTCAACTGATGTTAAGCGGGAACCAACATCCATTGAAATTTGCAAACTCCGTAGGGTTGCATATGTGTTGCCGTCACTAGACACTTCACGCCGGTCGTCTGTGAGGTCGTGCCCAATCGTGCAACAGCGAAAATTGTTGCGTGACCCTACAACACTTAAACTGGCAAGGTGTAAATGTGAGAGTATATACCTGATTCCTTCTCTTATTCATTAGCCTCCTCATAGCGCCGTCAGCCTTACTGTCATTGGGCTTTGACTGTCTGTTTTCAAACTGACCCTGGCCTTGCCCAACTTCCCCAGAGAATTTTTTCTGGCCATTATCTCCGTAATTGCTGTGCGAATGGCCTCTGCCAAAGTTCCTTTGCGCGTTTCCCCTTCCATAGCTTCCTTGAACTCTTCCCCTTCCGGAGCCCCTTTGCGCATTTTCTCGTCCATAGCTGCCATGTCCACCGCCCCTTCTAAAGTTCCCCTGCATACCGCCACGTGCATTATCTCTTTGTAGATTTCCCCTGCCAGGACTCCCCTGGAAATTGCCCCTGCGACTGTCCTGCTGAGGTTTTTGTTTCAGAGTTATTTGAGTGCATCTTTTCACACGGATGATCCTGTTCTTCATTGTCAAATCTTCCTCTGGAAGAGCAAGTGCCAATTCTACGGCATCTTTTGATTTGAAATTCACATATCCAAAGCCTGTAACAGTATTTGAGATTTTTTTTTACTACTTAGGTTGTCGAGTTCTTAAATATAAGATATTTCCACCTGTATATAAGTGACATACTTCATTTATTATTATTTAACATATGTGTATATAGAATCTAATTGTAATCTATTGAATATAGAATCAGACAGAAAAATCTTGAAAGGTATGGCATTTTTATTTATTCAAAGATGTAGGCAAGTACAATGTAATTATGTAACCAAGTATAAAAATACAAAATTATTAATTTAAAATTTTTTATATTTTTTGTATACAGTATACATGGTGTACAAATAATGCAGATATAAATAATAAAGATACAAATTTACCTTTTCCGGCATTAGTCTTTTTGTCCCTTATGATCCTGACGGACTCGATCTCACCGCACTTTTGGAACAACTTGTACAAAGCTTCGTCCTCCAGAGCAAAGGGCAGGTTGCCGACGAAAACTGAACTCTTCGGATCGTGCTCCGAGCCGGTGCAATCGCTGCGGGTCACACGCAGGTGATGGTCATTTAGAACTGTGCCATTTTCTGCTAAAGCCTGGAAACAGAAAGTTTCCTCATAAAGAAAATAGTCAAAAACTTTACCGTTTTCGGATTTCGAAATACAAAATCAAATTCAGAAAGAAAGTCTTATTACTGCAAGTTTAATTACAGCCGAATATTCGTATAGGGTATACTCGGCGTATTTGTTTTTAGTCCTTATTTGATAATTAGGCCGAATAATTTACATTTTACAGACGAAGCGCACAAGTAAAACACTTCAACTACACGCCGGACTTCTGTGAGGTCGTGGTACCTCCCCGGACAGACATTTGTGCAACAGTGAAAACTGCTTCGTAAACCTACCACCACTGATATACAATTCCCAACGTTTCGAACCCCCAGAGAAGTGCTGAGTACATAATCGATTTTAATTGTATCATTTTGTATTTGGATATTCGTAATCTATTGAAATCATATTCGGCACACCTATACTAATTATTAACGTGTTCATGTTCCATTTTCATATGTTACACACGATTGTGATATATTCCGTTTATGAGATTAATGTTGAGTTACAAACCCACCTCCTTCACAGAGGATACATCACGAAATTTAACGTAAACATTAACAGTGGAGCGATCAGGGTGCAGTTCGTTCTTGATCACGGCGAGCTTTGGAGTCACCCGGGCGTCTTTCACTGGAACTGTGCGGATTCTGTTGGAAAATTAAAAAATCATAATCATTTTGTGACTACTGATACAACTAGGTAACAGCAATGCATGACCAATGTGATGTACAAAATTTAGAGATGTATTACTATGTATTTGTATAATCCGGTTGACTACACCAGTGTAAGTAAATACTTTCGTGTTTCGTCTGGTGAGTGAGGTAGCCGGAGCCCAATTTTCAAAAGGTTGTCAATGCATCTGCAAGCCCCGGTTGTAGCAGATGTCCAGCGCAGCGGTATCCACTTAACATTAGGTGAACCGCCTGCTCGCTGGAAAACTCACATAAAAAAATCCCCTGATGAACCTGGCCATTGCGTGGCATAAATAGCTCGAAATATTATCTGTTGTAGCATTTCATATGTGAATTACGTTCATTAATAATAAATAATTCACCAATGTTCTCACATTTTTAGGAAGTAGTTACATTAATTCAATTTATTTAAATACCGATAGAATGTCAATTTTGAAATAGCTGCTTAATAAAGACATTTCTTGATTATGAATATAAGGTTTTATACCTTGAATGTTTTATTAATGGTTATTAACATTATTTCTTATTAGAGATTTTCAGACAATGCTTTCTAGTTTATGCTGGAGATAACAAGGATTTTGATTTTGCTCACTTTGGATTTGCAATGAAATCACACAAAAGATGGGTAGAAAGAATTAATGTCTCTGTGCATTATCAGTGCCCTCCTGATCATGATCTTTATTTTACATGGATCAAGTTTGTTGTTCTTATACTTTTAAATATTTTACAAGGCTAAATATGCTTTGTACCTGCATAGACTCTAAGGAACATAATACAAAATGTTGATTTAATAAAAACTAAGTTTTCATTTCAATTTTTGATGATCAAATATGAAAATATGCAGAAAAGATGACATATTTGTCAGCATACAGATTATCATGAAGAATTTAAGGAATTTATTCCTTAAATTTTATTTTATTTAAATTGTCCCACATTAGTTGATCTTGGACAAGCAAGTAAGTTGATAAAATTCTAGGCTAGCATACCTTACTGTTTCAATCTGCCCATATTTGCTAAAAATTTTCTTAATTTCTTTCTTACATTTAACACTGAATGGCACATTACCGACAAACAGGGTTCTTTTTATTTGTTCTTCCGTTTGTATAAATGCCTCTTTATTATTTGTTACATTTTCATTTTCTTTTTTTTCTGGGACCTTCTCTTCTTCATCTGAACTTTCTTCTATTGGGCCCGTATCAAGAACTTCTTCATTATTCTGGTCATTTTCCGATTCTATTTCATTATCAGACTCATGTTCAGAGTCTGTATCTTTATCAGTTACTGCATTGGGGTTGATAAATACTTCTTGCTTCCCTTTCTTCTTCTTTTTTGATTTCTTTTCATTATTATCCTTATTGGATTCTTTGTCTTCTTGATTCGCAATAATTTTTGTGTCTACTACTTCATTGGTTTTTGATTTCAATTTATTCCGCTTTTTCCTATTTTCCATCTGATTTTGTATAATGCCTGAATCAGCTGAATCTTCAATTTCTTTATTGATATTGCCTTCCTCCACAACAGTATCCTGATGTAAGGCTTTCTGTTTGTATTTCTTCTTCGGGCTAATAACTGACAGTATCTGTTCATTGCTTTTATCATTTTCTTTGTTGTTATCACAGCTTTTTGATTCATTGTCATGGTCATCATTAGAATGCTCATTAAGGTGATTTTTCACAATTTTTTCTGAAGAGTTCTGGAGCATTTTGTTTTTCTTTTTCCTTTGTATTTTTGTATTATTGTCAGTGGTATCTTCTGTTTCTGCAATTCTGTCATCATTTGCTACCACCGTTTTTTGTCTTTTCTTCTTTTTAGGAGTGCTTTCATTTTGATCCTGAGAATTATCCAAATTAATTGTCTCATCTTCTACTTTCCATGAATCGTTTTGAAGGGCTGGCTCTTTAACTTTGGTCTTTTTATTTTTCGATGACTTAAAATTTGATGCGGTATCCCCCTCCAACTCTTCTTTAAGATGTTTCTTGACTTTGTCAGCTTTTGGACTCTTTGTGTTTGGATTGCCCTCAGCATCATTGCTCGCGTCTAAGTCAGGGTTCTCAAATATTCTTTTCGGTGATTTTTTGACGATAGCTTTCTTCTTCTGCAACGTCGGCGAAAGAAAAATTGATCTGTCTTCAACTACCTCACTTTTAGGTGTCACGTTCGGCGAGGGTTGATGTTTTATCGGAGTTAGTGCTCTCTTCATGAATTTTGGCCGGTTAGGTGTTACGTTTCCAGTAACCAGGGCTGCAACACTTCCTACTACGTAATCCATGGTAAATTTAAGTTGTTCTATTAAAGTTTAAGTTTACTTTTGTCAGATGCACATGGCATTTTTGACAATATCAGATAAACTTCAATTTGATCTTGTCAAACGTCAGCTTAACAGTTGCAATCTGTTCCTTTATTCTCATTTCTCAGTTGCAAAACAGTTACAATAAAGAACTACACTTAAAAAAATGTATTCTATAGAAATTGTACCAAATATGAAGATCAATCATCGTGGGTAATATGCAGTGAATGCAATCGATTATATTACTTTTACTATAATATTAAACCCTCTGTATAGAGGAGGCCTTTGCCCAGCAGTGGGACATGTACAGGCTGTTACTTAACTTTACTTTAATATTAAACAAATTTAATTTTTTATGTGTAACTAACTAGATAACCCGGCAAACGTTGTTTTGCTATAATTTTTCCGAAATATAAAAAAGTTTGGGGTGGACCACTCTTATCATTATGGGGTATGAAAAATATATTACGACAAATTAAGCCAAATATCATAAAAATCGATCAAACCGTATCAGATGGCAAATAACAAACATTGTGACAGGAGAATTTTATATGAAATACATCATGCGATTAAGATGCTTACTTAAAATAAATATATTTAGATGCTAAATTAAATATATTTATAAAAGTAACTGAGCAATACTATTCATGTCAGGAACTTTTTTCATTTTTTCAATGTTTTCGAAAGATTATAATTCTTATAAAATTATGACTTAACGAAAACGAAAACTGATTATTTTGCATTGTAAATTCAATGCTTTTAATAATTTAAACAGTAGATCTTTTCAAAATACTTCTTTCCTTTACTGATTATAAATTAATAAACATTGAAATTTTTTAATTAGAAATAAAGGATTATGTTTTTATTAAAACAAGTTTAAAGAGATTGTCCAATGAATTTAAAGCACTTTTTTGTAGGTTATCAGATATTTATTATACTTTTTCATTCTCACTATCGTCACTTTTTCATGTATTTTAATCACATTTCGTTCTTAGGATTTTATGAATGGGTTAATTACAAAACTGAGCTTGGCAACACTTTGTAAGTAATCTTCGCGTTGCGGCAGAACTATGAATTGTGATGCTTTCGTGTTAGTTATTGTGATTGTTTGATTATTTATTAATAAATTTGGTTAAAATTTTATAGTGTGACTAAACAAGTGCAGTCTTTAAAAGTGAACAGTGAGTATATTCCTCTTATCGGTATATATCTAATTAAATTCCTCGCACGCCATGTTATATTGCCCGCCATTCTCCGGTTTATGTATTGTTTTATTAGTTTCATCGAATTGGTGTGTATTGAACAGAGTATCAGCTTAATGTATCATTGATTTTCGACAGTTCATGTAATTACAATTTTTATTAGCATAATTCAAGATGGTAAAGCGACTCGGAGGTTAGAAATAAATTTGCGCGGTCTCTTCTCAGATTTCATAAAACTTCATATTTCTTAGGTACTTTTTCCATAGATTCAAATAACACTACAACGCATGTTAATTACATGCTCTTTCAACGTTAGTTTTCTTAAAAGCATTATTGTCGATTGAAATTTGTTCGCCGGTAAATACATTTATAGATTCTTGTGCAAAAAAAGAATAGGAAGTGGACAAAACGTTTCGAATTCGCCTTTTTTTTTATAGTTGCCATGGCCTTGGCGCCGAAATAATCCGTTGTTGTTAAACAAGGCTTATTACCATATGCCACTTTTAAAGTTGATATTGACTGGTTTCATTATAAAATAAGATTTCTACAGCATTTATTTAATATAAGCAAAAATGTCTAATGTGAGACAAGACATATTTAAGACTAGTTTTTCGCCCGCGGCTTCGCTCGCGTTGAAGCCCTTGAATATCATTCTTTACAAAAACAATCAAATTAAAAAATAGCTTATGTCCTTTCTCAGACTCTAGACTGTGTACCAAATTTCATTTAAATCGGTTCAGTAGTTTTGGCGGGAAAGCGAGACAGACAGACAGAGTTACTTTCGCATTTATAATATTAGAATATTTATATATAAATTATTATGGATATATAGTCTATTATATAGTTTTTTACTATTTTCAAATATATTATAATGATGCTTGTTTTCATTTATTTTGTGATAGATTTGTCTTTAGTATTTGAACATAATCTACTTTATTAGGCAATTTAATTTATAAACTCCTATATTTTTTTGATGAAAGAATAAAACACTAATTATTAATTAGGTACATCTGCTTTCTATCAACGCTATTTGGTAATATAGGAAACTTATACTGCCATCTTCATTATTGTTGTCATTGTTTTGAAACTGTAAACAAAGTGTTTGATTGATTTAGAGTAGTATACTTGCTCCTCTTCTTTAATGCTAATAAAACCAAACATTTAATTAATCACATGTGTAACAACAATATGTTTTGTTGTTACTGTTAATTATATAAATTTTAATTTGTTGTTATAATAGATAACTTAAAAACAATGTCATTATAATAGTTAACTTGGTGGAGCCATTGCTAAATAATTGCCTGCGGCGTCAGGGGTCATGGGTTTTATTCCCACCTGGGGGCGAGTATTTGTGTGTCCCACAGGTAATGGTTCGGATCTGGGTGTTTGTTGCCAAAGGAGGGTTGACTTCAGGCAGGCATAACATAATTCATATGTTGTCAACCCCATCTAGCAGGGATAAGGGCAGGAGTGATGAATTAATTAAAATGTTGATTATTTCTTATTTCTTTTATGTGATCTCTTATTATTTAATTCAACAAACATCAAATCACTTTAATTTATAATACAAGTTAACTCCATAACTAAATACTAAATGGTATTATGTGTTTAGTGTACAAGTCACTGTATTTGCAGCTTCACTGTCGGCATTATTCTCGGCACCGCTTCCTGCAATCTTCCTTTGTACCATTTGCCTAGGCATTTCATATGACTAAAGGGAGAAAGGATGCAATTTATCACTATATAAAAGGCATTGTAATCTGAAACATATACTGGAACTGTTCCATTATGTTAAGGGAGGAAAGGTTGTTTTTTTTATGAGTCGTACCAAAGCAGATTGCTATAATGCACATCAATAACATAAATGGGGCTAAGAACGATTTTACAATAGTAGGCTCCCATTACATTAAAATCCAGGAAATATGTTTAAAGTATAAATAACTTGCCTTAATAATGATAATAAAGTTTTTTTTACTAGTATAATGTTCATATGGGCGGGCCATTGAACTCTAAAACAGCAGAGGCTGAAGAATAAGAATGAACACTTCTGAGGTTTAAGTAACAGATAATATGTTATGATGTACACACAAGATGCAGAATATTTATTATATTACTAGTTTTATGCTCATGCCTCTGGCCATGTTGAAGCCTTTTAATAAAAATATTTTCTGTTAATAAAAATAATCCTATGTCCTTGTTAATACCTCTAAGAATATGTGTACAAAGTGTCATGCTAATCGGTTGAGTAGTTTTGGCGTGAAAGTGTAACAAACAAACTTACATTCACATTTATAATATCAATGTTAGTGAGGATCAATAATGTAATATGTTGCGATATAATTTACAATTAAAGAATTTGTGAATGAAGAAGTCAGACAGCTTTTTAAGAATAAGTTATATCATATTTTACGAATAAAAATTGAAGTTATAAAGTATTTTTTTTTTGTTAATAGTTGAATTTGCAGAGGCATAATCAAGGAATAAATAAATGTTACTTTTAATACTTTTTATTTTAATGTCTGTCTCTTTCTGTACGGAAATAAATGAGATGTGAAAAGTGATTGGACATTTTGGTCCGTCTAGTTAATCGTGTTATATTTTCGATTAGAACACTCGAAAACGAGGAGCACCTATGGGTGCAGCCCATCCGCTTTGGGATGAAGCCATAGCGGTCGGAGGAAGCGCGGCCCTCGAACCGCTGATGCGTGGAAAGTTCATCCAAGCGTTGGATACGAAGCTTGATCTGGACAGTAGTTTAACGGTGTTGTTTCGTATCCAAGGGGTAAAACGGGACCCTATTACTAAGACATCGCTGTCCGTCTGTCTGTCCGTTCGTCACTGTGCTGTATCTCATGACCGTGATAGTTAGACAGTTGCCGCTATAACAACAAATACTAAAAACAGAATAAGAATATATTTAAGTGGGGCTCCGCTCTCAAACAACAGACACAATTTTCCGTTGTTTTGCCACGAGTTGTCGTTTTAATAGATACGGAACCCTTCGCCCGCGAGTCCGACTTGCACTTGGCCGTTTTTTATTCACCATTCAGGGATTCTTTCTGCACCATGCGGGCTGCGGGCTTTTCATTTGACTTTTTTATGCAAAGAATAGGCTAGCGAGCAGGCAGTCCACCAAGTGTTAAGTGATCACCCCCTTAGACGTCTACAACACCTGATGGGTGGCTGAAGCGCTGCCAACGTCCAAAAAGATCCTGGTTACCTCACTTAGAGCAGTGATAGCTCAGTGTCCGGGCGCTCGCCTTTAATTCAATATACTCGAGCAACCTGAGTTCGATCCCCGGTGGCGGCACCATCGTGACCCTGACTCATCACGTGCTCCGCGATGAAGGAAAACATCGCGAGGAAACCTGCAAATAATAACAAAAAAAAATATTTTTTGAAGATATGTGAAGTCCGCCAATCCGCAGTGGGGCCGCTTGGTGGACTATACCCTGATACAATCTGTATAGAGGAGGCCTTTACGCAGCAGTGGGACATGTATAGGCTGTTACTATTACCTCACTATACGAAACGCGAAAGTACATTACTTCAACTTCACAGTTTGGCGTTTCGTTCGTCACGTACTTTGGTGTTTCGTGTGGCGAGTCAGGTAACCGGAACACTAGACATAAAAAATACGCGTTTAATCGTCCAGATATCGATCGGAGCCATCACGGTTACTCGTGTCTTTTATGTTAAGGAGAACTGGCTTAAACGATTCTAAACCTCCACACGAGTATAGCGTATTCATTTTCCTTAAAAATTAATCCAAAGTTTTCG